GGTGCCTTAAGTTGAAACCCCCCAGGAGCAAGAGTTGGGTTGCAGGAGTGGAAGATTTTCCAGCAGTGGGGCAATTTTTTTAAAAGCTGTTCCTGGAATGCTGGGATGTTGCATCCGGAAGGGTTGTAGACTACCACAAACTGTTTTTGGGTTTTCGACCCTTTTCTGCTAAAACTTCACTCGGCATTTGAGGGATTTAAACATTCTGTGCAAACAAATGACCTGCAATTTAACAGCCAACCCCCCCCCCTTTTTCCCGTTCACTCTGCAAATTTTGTATAGGTTGTAACCTGGGGTCCAAATTTTTGTTGTCCAATGATCCTTTTGTGGGTCTCATGAAAGCCGCGAAACATTGCCTTTGCCCTGCAAGCAGTCCAGGGAAAAAGGTATTTTGTTTTTTATTGCTGGTTTTTGACCTGATATTTGCAAAGAAAAATGTTATCAAAATGGGGGTATTGTTGGTACGGGGGGGGGGGGTTTTTTTTTTCCGGCTTTTTATATCTGTATCTGTTGGTTTTTGGGTGGAGGCCTTCGATGTGGTTCCACTCCAGGAATGACTGGTTTTGGGGTTTTCGTTTTCTGCCATTTCCTCCAGTTTTTTTTCCTTCCGGCACTAAAAAACCTCTCCCTCTTGGTGGCTTGGCTACCAGGTTTTCCCATGGCCTGGATTTTTTTGTATCTTTTTGTCCCCTTTAGATGGTATGCCGGAAATTTTAAAAGTTATGCCGTCTTTCCTGTACTAAGAGGTACACTTTCAGGGTGAAAAAGTTACAGGAAGGGGGTTTGCTTTTTCCGTTGTAAATTTGGGAGACATTTTCTAGGGTGGTCATAGTTGCTGTCCCATCTTTTTTTTCCAGTTTTCCCCATGCCAGCGATCCCCAAGTGATGTAGTCCCCAAAGGCTTGGTTTCCGTTTCCCTTTGGGGTTTCTGTGACTTTTCCTGTTGGTGCATGTTTCCCTGTCTTATTCCTATCCTCCTTACCCCAAAAAGGGAGCTCCCACCATTGTTTTGGTAATTTATCCTCACTTTGTATTGGGTCCTCTTGTTTGCTATTTCCTGCGGTATTTTTGGTTGCAAAATTGGTTTTTTTTATTTTGACTCACTTTTTTCCCCCACATGGCTCCTGTCCTCTTGGGTCAATTAAAGTATTCCTTCCTGCGTATAATTCCCCCAAAACCTGGACAAAAAATCCCGCTTCCCATTACTGTCTACCAGGACAGTATCTCCGTTCACCTTTTTTGTTCCCAGGCGCACCTCCAGCTTCACCATTTCTGTCTCCCGGACAGTATTCCGCTTTCACCATTTTTGTCTCCAGGAAAGCACCTCCAGCTTACCTTCTGTCTCCAGACAGCACTATCAGCCCTACATTTACTGACTTACCAGGTACATCACCTCCAGCCTTACAGTTTGTGACTACTGGCCAGGCTCAAGGGCTCAGTACCATTCAGCCGGACTTTTTATGTTCCCATCTGTTGTTGAATGCTTCCGGTTTTATGAAGCAGCTTTGATGTTATCCTCTTTTAATACACTTTGTGTTTTGAGTCCACTGAATTTTTTCATTTGGGCTACCCAAAAACACTTCTCTGTCTTAATACTGCTTGTAGCTAGTTCTTGGGTATCTGCACAAAAAAAAAAAGGGGGTGAGCGTGACAACACAATATCACAAAATGACAATTTTTCCATGGAGGTAGCCCGTTTGTTTGGACTGTCCACAGACTACACACAGCTTCTTAATGATTGATTGGTTGATTTACTGCAAGTTACTAGCAACCTCTTGAATATTATATTAATAACCTTAAATGAAGCTCTAGCTATTTGTATTTCTGTTTCTAACTCTTTTTGTATATTGGACAGCTTACCGTCACGTTCCCATAATGTCAGCATAGTTGCTGAAGAGCCACCTGCCTGTTCAGCCTATAGCATAGTATGGTATGTAGAGACGACATACGTAACATGACCGAGCTATCAACATAGTTGCTGATCCCCTGTATATGTATATATCTGAGTATCATAGTACCATCCATATGTTTTACATAGTTGACCCCCTTGTTAGGCTCAGTGGCTAGCATGTATGACGTCACGTGATGCCGCATGTGAGCGTGAGACTCGATGCTTCTCTCTCACTCCACGCTTAGGTCTACAATAGGCAACACGGCAGGCTGGGCTCCTCCTTCTCACACTGCTAATATATGTTACCATCCAACAAGTGTGTTTAACTCCAACCATCATATCTCCACGAACCTTCTCAACATTAATGTACAGTAGCTATGTGTTGGCCATCATAAATTCTAGCTGTTGTGGTAGAGTTAGTATGTGTTTCCAAAAAAATAATTAGGATCCAATAATTAAATGGTAAGTGGTAATACGAATTTCCTTTCTAAGTCCCACTTACAATTACTTGCACGTAATAATTCAGGTAATACCTTGTAAACCTCGTGCAGGTAATTTGCTCACATATTAATAATAATTCAGAAAAAGTGCTCTTGATTCAAGGAGTTCGAGTTACCCTTCCCTTCCTCGGCTCACATTTGATAACCTTCCATTTCCTAGGCGCTGTAGGACTCTCAGTAGTCTAGCGGCTATTCATGAATATATTTATAGTATGTGTGGATGCATACAAGGATAAATCTTACACTTATGTGGTATAAACATTAACACTTCTTAAAGAATGCAGTGACACCCTCTTCAGAAAATCTCGTTATTAACTGCAAAAAAAAAAAAAAATACAGTAGATGGGCCAGGGGTAGTTAGTTTTGGAAACAAGGAAACATAAGTTAAATACTGTGTATTTCAATCTCGTACGTAAGTTTAAAAAAGTCAGACTAAAAAGTCAGGCTAAATGATAATCTAAGTCAAAAATCATTAATTAATCTTATACAGTACACCGTCAAATGAATAAATACATTTGCAACATCCCAGTTTCTTAACTATAAAGATACCCAGATGTTGCACATGTGTCTTATTCATCAATCTAAGTCAAGGTTAAGAATTGGGCATAGCAAGGCTGGTTATATTATCAGGTTTCCATTGACTTTGCTAGATGTTGAAGTTGTAATGTAATTATAGTAGATTCGTTGATTTTGCGCTCAAACATGCAATTGATTCTATATATAATGGAAAAAACTACGCAGTTAATGTTAGCGTTATGATTTCTAACATGCTGGAAAACTCCACAACTGCCTTGTGGATACTCAACACATTTCTAATAATTAACCTAAGGATTACTCTGGATAATACATCCTCTATAGCGTTATTTAACAGGGTGACACTAACACTGGTAGAGCAGTAAACAAGCTTCACTGTAGCGAATTTGAATCTCAAATGGATAGATGAAAATGAAGATATTGAAATAATTTAAAGTAGAAATAAAGAAATTACTACTAGATGTTTAAAAGGCAAAAACCGCAGGACAAAACCAGATAGCATCTTTGGTTTTATAAATATGAGAATAAATGCTAAGTTGCTCTAATTTTCTGGAAATGAGGGAGCTACTCAAGTCCCAATATGACTCAGTTTTTAGCAAGCCGCTAACCAGACTGAGAGTCGAAGATCAAAATAATTTTTTATGAGAGAGCCACGGAATTTGGTTAACACAAGCCTATCTGATGTTATCCTGACGCCAAATGACTTCGAACAGGCGATAAATGACATGCCCATGCACTCTGCCCCAGAGCCAGACTCATGGAACTCCGTGTTCATCAAGAACTGCAAGAAGCCCCTATCACGAGCTTTTACCATCCTATGGAGAGGGAGCATGGACACGGGGGTCGTCCCACAGTTACTAAAAACAACAGACATAGCCCCACTCCACAAAGGTGGCAGTAAAGCAATAGCAAAGAACTACAGACCGATAGCACTAACGTCCCATATCATAAAAATCTTTGAAAGGGTCCTAAGAAGCAAGATCGGGCCACCCATCTAGAAACACATCATCGTTACACACCCAGGGCAACATGGGTTAGGAGCAGGTCGCTCCTGTCTGTCTCAGCTACTGAATCACTACGACAAGGTCCTAGATGCACTAGAAGACAAAAAAATTGAATGAATTTAATGTAGATAAATGGCACTAATAAAAACGGGAGAAAGTGAAATGTGTCCACATTCAAGAATATGGTGTGTAAATATTGAAAGTTATCAGAAAGAGGGTGGGGGCCTAAGAGCTAATATTAAAAAAAATTAATCACTCAAGCTCAAAACCACCAAATCCTGGAGAAACTCAACGCTATACTGGCAAAACTATAAAATGTTAAAATAAAGCTGTTTACAACATATATAAGGTAAAATTGGGAAAAGTCAGGGGCTTTTGCCGTCTAAATCATTCTCACCCTCCAGACCCTGTGCGCCTTCAGACCCTCTCCCACCCTACGACCCTGTCCCACCTTCCAGACCTGTCCCACCCTTCCAGACCCTCTCCCACCCAACCAGATCCTGTGCCACCTTCTCAGACCCTGTCTCACTTACAGACCCTGTCCCACTTTCCAGGACCCTGTCCACCTTTAGAACCCCTGTCCCACCTTTCAGACCTCTCCCCACCCTTCCAAACCCTGACCCACTTCCAGACCTGTCCCACCTATCCAGGACCTGCCTCATCTTCCAGACCTCTGACCCACCTTCAGACCCTGTTCCCACTTCCAGACCCTCTCCCACCCTCAGACCTGTGCCACTTCCTGACCCTGTTCACCTTCCGACCCTGTCCCACCTCCAGACCCTGTCCCACTTTCGACTCTGTCCCACCTTTCAGGACACTCTCCAACCTTCCAAACAGACCCACCTTCCGGACCAGTCCCACCTTCAGACCTGCCTCATCTTCCGACCTAGTGTCTCCCACCTTCCAGACCCGTCCCACCTTCCAAACCTGACCAACTTCCAGACCCTGTCCCACTTTCCAGACCCTGCCTCACTTCCAGACCCTGTCCCACCTTCCAGACCCTATCCACACATAGGTCTCAATCTACTCACAGACCTTCATTTCCAGGGGACTCTGTTCTTCACATAGACCTCACACTACTCTCAGACCTTCCACACCCTTGTCCCTCATAGCTCTACCTTTACAGACCTTTCTCCCACCTTCCTGAGTTGTAAAATATGAGTTTTAACTGAAAGCACCAAACACACTAAAGATGCTCAACATTGGTTGATACGAGAAAAAGAGGTGACATATTCCACCTCTAAGGTCATAAAGGATTTGAGAGACTAAGGAAAGATGTCTAGTTCCTCCAACTAGCATGCCACAGTTGTAAATGACGGAAAAAATGGATCGAGAGACTTTTTTTTTTTTTTTTTTTTTTTTATTCGCCGGTACTCTCCGGCCCCGGGTTTTTCCATGTAGTGGTGACCGGCCTTGGCTCCCTATCTGGGGAGTGTCTCGAGACCTCTTAGTCTCCATGGGAGGAGGTACAAGTACCCCTCATCTTTGGGACCAAGTGTCCCCTGGCCTAGCCACAGTCCCGACCTCACGGGGCTCGTAGGGAGAAGTCTGAAGAGATACTAAATTTTTCTTCGTAGCGTGGTAAATAAATGGAATAAGTGCTACCACTGGAATGTGAAAAAAATGATGAATTATTAGAGCGGGACTCCACGGAGTTCTTCACTGTTCCTCTGTTAGGATCGAAATCGTTTTATACGTCAAAAGACTCACTCTCGCTATTTTATGGATTTTTTTTTTTCAAGTCCTACCCGCTCCGTGGTCTGTTCCTCTAGTTATAAGTAAGAAATTCTGCACACAAACCTTGGCCTGGACGACAGTGATGGCCACACATGCCACCAACAATATCAGTTTCATGTTGTCAGGTAGAAGCCACAATGTGCGCCCTTCGTTGTCCTCTACTCCTGCTTATTGTCTGACGTCCCGCGAGTACTGCTCTGCGTCTATACCCCATCAGTCTTACCTTCCTTATATATGTAGTAGAACATCTGTACCGCCCACCCAGAACAGAGGGGATGTATGGGAACGGAGGATAATCACCTTACATAACACAAACACAAAGAGGTTAGTGACGTCCACCCATGTCACGTCAGCAAGCTTTGTTAGTTATTATTGTTACAAACAAAACTAAGAGCTAAACCCACAAGGGTCATACAGCTTCAACTTTGTTAGTACACGCCCATTCACTTTCTCAAAGAAAAAAAAATCAATTGTGTCAACATCTAATGTTTTGACAAAATGTTTCGCAAAGCTCTATTCCACAATTTCTTATTTTAAACCCAAATTTAGAAGCCTAATGGAGGTCATAGAAACCCATATCACACACAGGAAGTAAATATATTTTTTTATTTTCTGTGATGAAATTAGTTTTGTTTTCGAGTGTGTCAGCAGCACTACGCTGCTACTGACGCTCTCTTTTTGTGCTCCCTTTCAGGCGTATTTTTCCCCG